ATCGTTCATACGGAACTCACTCGTTCCGTTGTGCCTTAAGGGCTCTCTCTGGAGTCCAACCAGCAGCCGCACAGCGACGCATGATATATAGGCAGAATGGTATTACCGACAAAGACAAGGGAGACTGGAATGGCCATTTCTGGCTTATTAGCCGTCGTCCGCCATTCATTCCCAAGCGCCCCCTACCATTGTATATTCCCGCTCGAAAACCGACAGGGCAACGGGCTCGTGGCCCAGTGAGTAGAGATGTGGAGGCGGTAATTCCATTCTGTCTTATATTACTATTTGTAAGTCATGTCGCTTTGCAATATTAAACTTGTCTTTTATTTTATATCTTTCTTACTGACACTTAGCTTTCCTTGTCATGATTCCTTCTTATCCTTTATTTTGCATTTTATTGATTTCTGGACAGTTATTGCGTCTTCTGGTGTAAGTCTCAACCTGCGTTATTTGCATGTCTGATTACGGCCTGAGGCCAACTTCGATTGGCTGCTGTTTCTCCTGAAACTTTGGCTTCCGTTACATAGTTGATAGCGGTTTATTCAGTTGCCTGAATTACCTTGAATACCATTTTTGGCTGGCTTTTCTAATTTCTGCGCTTACTTACTGTTTACACTCTAAGCGCATTTGAAGGCCTCCGATCACCATTGATTTCTCGATTTCGTTTTTTGTCAATCCGATGGCCCCCCTCGTAGAAGCCATATTACCACCATTCCCGTTAGACAGGGTCCTACGTTTATCTGTTGCTGACCCCGGAGAGAAACCGTACCCTCGCCGCGCACTCATGTCAATTAACGCGTGATTGGCAATCGTTTGTAAATTTCGATACCTTTTATATTTTAGGTCACGTAGTGTTTGTTTAACCGTAATCCTAACCTCAAATCAGGCCTTAAAATTAACCTTGATTTTAAACCATACCACAAATTTGACCTAATGTTTCTCTGAATTTAGTTTAATGCCGCTGGAACTCTTTTATTCTTATGTTTTGTCTCGGGGAAGCCAGATAATTGATACTGGTTGAAAGGACAGCCTTTTTAATATACCAAAGTCCTCCTGTTACAGATAAAGTTCTATCATTTCGAGTAAAGCATTCTTATTTCCCGCCAGCATGATCGCGAATGTGGTCCTCGACTTTTCTGTCCAAACTTCTTTAATTTATTGCCCCTTCGCAGAGGCGCCTCTTCAAAAAATTTTTCATAGCCGTCCATACAGATGTCTTTTTTATTGAAAAATGGCAAAAATTAACCATCCAAATTTATTTTCTTCATAAACGCAGACAAAGAGATAATAAGGTTTTTAATATAATATAATTATCTGAACCAAGTGAAGGGTGGATTGTATTTCCGCTGCAAGCACTTCCACTGCAGGTTAGGAAAAGATGTTGCAGGCTGACCAAATTAATACATAATAAAACGCATTATACCAACAATATTTTTTATGATTTTTACATGATCAGGATGGCTGTCAGCCTGCGTCAATCTGAACAGTTCTTGGAGGTCAGGGGAAAACGTATATACAAATTCCGTTTTTGAAAGCGATGCAAGTTTTCTGTCCGTTTTTTGCCTGGGTAAAACGATGAAATGACTTTCCTGAAACAGATTTTGCCCTGAAGGCAAGGTCGTACCAAGATCCTCTAGTTGTCGTGTTCTCGCATTTTAAATGTCCCTTAATTGCATATTTGACATGGCTTCCTCATTTATTTTGTGCCCTATAGGTTAGTTTTTACATTCACTTTGAATGGAAATACGTACGTTCGAGTGGTCACTTTGTAAATCAGCTCCAAAAAACTCCAGGAATCATGGTTTATTCAGCAACCTCTTACTTTGGCTCTCCTCTAAATCTAATGTCAGTTCATTTTCAGCTTCAGGAAGCGAAAGCGTCTCCCAGGGTTTGCGTGCGAACAGGAACACAGTACAGATTATTTTTAACGGGCAAGAACAAACATCCCTCGGGGATGTCGCCGTCAATGCTCACGACATTTACCAATGGGCAGCTAAAACAAATTAAGCAACAATTCTGTCGGTCGGATGGGGCTTTTTGAGGGTTAAGTCAAACTAGAGGACACGAGCTGACGTCAGACATGGAGACACTGCTTAAAATAAAGAAAACATACCAAATTAAACTAGAAAGTGGAAAATTCATAAAAAGCTTTAATTGCATCGTTGGCGCTTGCTCGTTTGACGAGCAGTAAAATAACAGCGTCATGAAATGCGTGTTGGTTTAGTTTAAATTTTGCTATTTTTAATTGCCATTCCTTTAATGACCTTGGGAAGGATAGTTTTAAAAGTATTATTAACTGCCAGATATTAAGATTGCCTGTGGGGCAGTCGATTGCCTTATTACACTAAGTGTTTTGTGCAATAATTTACCGTACTAACAACACAGGTATTAGCTAAAAGCCCAGACACGCGTGTTTCGCCGATCTTGTGCCGCTGCCTGACGCAGCTGCGAGGGGTTCGGCTCGTCAGTGGGTCCCCCAGCTTTCCCCGTGTGTTTACTCCACGTTCGCGCATTAATTTCCTCGGAAATTAAGCAAGGCAAGTAGAAACTGGAGTTCATATACCAGAAAACACACGAGGAAAGCTGGGGGACCCACTGACGAGCCGAACCCCTCGCAGCTGCGTCAGGCAGCGGCACAAGATCGGCGAAACACGCGTGTCTGGGCTTTTAGCTAATACCTGTGTTTTTAGTACGGTAAATTATTGCACAATGCTATACTACTGGCTGCCTGTTGGCGGTTTGTGAATATTAAGCGGTTATTCCGCAGTAGTTGATGGATTTCAGCTCAAATATTCATATCAACTTTCGGACCGTGCCTGAAAAGGCCTGTTTCGAAAGAGTTACTCCAAGTTCGCGCATTAATTTCCTCGGAAATTAAGCAAGGCAACTAAGTGTTTTAATTCACGAAAATAACTAGATTTAAAAAAATGTCAAAAAGAAATTAGAAACCGGTCCAACTGCACCAGGTGAAATTCTCATTTGAAGTTAAACAAACTTTGGCCAAAGAAAAACATTAAAAATATTCCGACGGTTGATATATCGCTCAGACTAATCGATTATCTCACGAAAAGACAAAATGCTAACAGCTCGAAAACTCATGATACAATAGGAAACTAAATTTTTTGGAGGTGCCTCTGGTCACATTGAGTAAATAACTGAGCAAATAAAACGGCGCGAACACCAGGACTTTTAAGGGCTTTCTGAATTTCGCATTCAGATATCTCCCAACATATGTGAAAATAAAAACTTGGACCGTAGGTTAACTGTCTAATATTTCAACAAAGGTTTAAAAATGTTTAAAGGGAATGATCGGTAATATTTATTTTTAGATAGTTCAACGTAACTTGTGAAACGTAAGAACTTCTTCAGAACATTTCGTACAGTCTTATTTTGGAAGCCCTGTTCAAGAGTAAGGATGTGAATTAAAGTTATAATTAACATATCCATTTTATGTATTAATAAAAGATTTTCTCTGTAAAATCATGGCAGTTTCTTTGTGGTGATGAATTCCGCTGAGTTTCAAGGTGGCCTCAAAATGACTATTAATACTTAAGGTCTTAAGCGTTCTCCCTCAACTGCCAAAAATTATAGGTTGTTGTTTAAAACTATCAAAACACTCATTACAGGGCACTTTTCAAAAGCAATTACTGGGGGAGAGAACACACAAACATTCGTCGTTTATCCAGATGGACGTTTTGTGTCGTGGCTTTTGTAAAACAAACAATTCATACTAAGACAGTTCTTAAAAGCCCTCACGTGTGCAGAGACTTTTCTGTCATCATTTTAAATGTAAAATGGGATTTTGAAAATATTTGTAGATTCACTCGAAATTTTAAACGTAGTCCTTAAAAGAAAATGGACTTCTACAACTAGTGACTGCCTTCATTAATTGCATGACATTTTCCAAAATGTCCCCACCCTACAATCTGGTCTACCGAGGTAGCTTACAGATGAACGTCCATGTATTTTAGGTTTGTCCAGAGTTATATAAGTGGACAGAATAGAACACCTGGCCCATTCATGGCTTCCTTAGGAAATTTTGATTAATTTCGCGCAGCAGATAGCGAAGCTGAATTTTTCCCTATATCTTCCCATTTTTCCTCCTATTTTGCCAATTATTCTTTATGTCTGGGAATCGTTCTACGATTATAAATCTGCCGCAGAGTGTCCATATTAATATTAAAATGGTCGAACATAGTTATGTAGCCCCAGTTGAAGTGAACAAACCCCAGTCACTTTTAATACGGGACCGATAGTAATAGTGGTTTTTACAGGCGGGGCCGGAGAGACGCATAGGCGACGAGATCAAGTAGTTGCATTCAAAAGAAGAGCTATTGAAGATGTGCGTTTCTACTTTGCATGGCTGAGAAATAGTTGCGCTAACCCCTAAACATCAACCCGGCTGTTTGGTGGTGGGTGTACTAGCAGCTTACAAAAAAATCCAGCAAATTGTCAAATCTTTCTTTAAAGCAAAATTCCGCTATTGTTGTGTTAAACCATAAAGAAAGGGGTAAGTTGTGTCCGGCCCACTGTGAGAAATATACGGAAAGGTGGCCTTTTAAAAACCAAAGCTTTTAGTCGAAAGCATAGGCGGGCAAATGTGCCTAAAAATGGAGACAGGATTCCGAGGGGTATATGTGGCGCGACGGACTGATATAACAGTTAGATGACTGTAAGGCTATGACTCATGCTAATCGCTATTGCAGTTTTCTGCATCTTACAATCTCTTTTATCCCACAAAATGTTTACTTTCGCACGTGACAAGCCTTTCCGACGGATTAAGTAAAACGGCCTGCTAATGTTGTCAGAACATCACTTTACAGCGACGTTTGGCAGAAATAGGAGAAAAAAGTTAAACAAAACGCAAATGTGAATCTGTTTGGTCTGGTAAGAATGGTAGCAGGCCACTGCCTTGTGCTCGTCCGATTTATACTGCAAACATTCTGTCTCTACTTGTGGTAAACGAAGAGTAGATTTAATGTCTCTGCCTACATACATGCCTACAAAGGTAGTGGTAATGATGGTGGTGGTGGTGGTGGTGGTGGTGGTGGTGGTGGTGGTGGTGGTGGTGGTGGTGGTGGTGGTGGTGGTGGTGGTGGTGGGGATGGTGGGGGTGGGGGGCTGTGGTGGGAGTAGGAGACACTGGACCACACAATCATATCATTTTGTGTCCCAGATATAAGTGTTCATCGAAAACTGCATCTGCATCTCAGATCACAGAGACAGAAAAACTGGGCCGAGAACCTCGGTAACACTTGTTGTTTATTTCTATGGGGCAGACGCCTTGGACTATTTATGATGGTCCCCTGACCTTCATTTTAACTGAGAGTTTTTTGTGAACGCATTTAAATAAAGAAGCTAAAAACGGAGATGGTGATTTTACTTAACTTGGTTTATTTTCATCATAGAAACTAGTAATATTAATGGAATTAATATTTATTAACCTATGCTGCCTACGTGCCCGATTTAAGAGCGAAACAAGTATCACCCGTTGAGGTCTAGAGGCCGGGGTATACAGGAGTACGCCACTGCTGAGCATGGAAATTGTTAAATGTAGCAAGCAACAGGTTAGGTAATCTTTGGGTCATTATACAGAGCGTTTCGCTCTTTAACTACGGGTCGAGTTGCGTTCCACACCGTCCTAGTTTGAGGCTGACATGCGACCTGCTGGCGAGATCAAATATTGGGGAAGCTCTTCTGGATAAGCGGCTCAGAAGTGTGGAACTTAAACGGCTTCAAACAATGCCTAACCTTGCCAAAATAAGCAAAGACACGGATCCCAGGAAGCAGATGTAAAGGATCGCTGGAAAAAGAGCTTTATTCGCCTGACGTATTGGATTTTTGCTCAAACCTATCGTCTGAGGCAATAGCAGATAACTGATCTTCGTAAAGATGGTGCTTAACCACGGAATCCGGATCAAGGACAAGTAACCTGTGAGTCACCACTCCTTCGGGCGGAGGTAACTGAACCTTTATCAAGTGTTCGATCTGGCGGTTCTTGCTCTTCCTCAACATAAAAGCAGAACGGTTAACTGTCGAGGCGTGGTTCTCCGATGCCCACTTCATCGACAGGCATCTGGATCTACCTGCAGCTCACTAAGTCCTACGCCATCACATTCGTAGAGCTCAGGACCAAGTAACCACACCGGAATTAGGAAGACAATACGGAGAGAGCTTGGCGGCGAGTTTGCTCGGTGAAGAAAAACAAGAACCGCCAGACAGACAACCCGACACAGATTTATCCATCTTCTATGACGGAATACTGACTCACAAATCTCAAAAATAAAACGCCCTTTAACCATCCTCTGAGAGGCCGACATGGCGAAAGGAGAGAAAAATCAATCAACATGAGGCAGACAAACACAATATTCCAATTGAAATTTCTGGTCGATTAAGCACATTTTACGCTTTGACAATGGGCAGCCGATTAAGGTCTCTGAAACGTCAGCATCTAAAAAACCCGTTCCGGTGAGCCTACCTTCTTTTCCTTCAAATCTTCGGTCCGGATCTCGCAGCATTGTCAATCGAAGTAACCTGTGATGTGAAAATGAGACTTCCCCCCAGACCTCCGCGAGGTCACAAAAATCATTGACTCCATTTCTATTGCCCTGACATAAAGCGAGCGAATTGACTTTAGGCATAGATATCTTAAATATTGTGATGAAGCTTTTTTGCGACAAACACTTTATTTTCAGAGGTACAGTATGGGAGAATACCGGAGGAGCAAGTTTTGCGGACGCCCAGAAAACTGGCCACATTCACAAATTCCAAGGACGTCAAGAAAACCTACAGTAGGTTGCAAGAAACAAATGTTCTCTACCACAGCTTTAATCTAGGCAAACAATTACGTCTCGATCTGCTTTACATTGTGATATTAAGTAGGTTGCCTACTACATAAATGTTGTCGACATTCGCAAAGGAATGCTAATCACTCATAAGCCACCACTTATGCGCGCACCTAATATCTACGTTTATAAGTATCAACTTTAAGGGCATTAAAAATATCGTCTTTTTAAAAGACCAGAAAATACCGATAACGCCATAATGCGGTTGTATTTGTGTTGACGTCAGTTTATATACGGTGAGTGGCCGATCTTATAAAATGTTGGCCGAAATTTTAAAATATGTTTACGATTAAAAAGGAATTGTTAGGTAGGGTTGTAATATTGATTACCTTGCGGCATGATCGCGCAAAATTTGAGACTTGCCAAAATGTCGGCCTTTGGAAGCATTTCTTTTTGACCTCCTTTAGAAATTGTACTGGATGGCAAATGACTAATTAAGCAGCAAAACGGTTTCACGGTAATTTTCCAAGATATTATAACTTCAAATATATTTCTTAGAAGATATGTACGAAAATATGTTTTCTTTTCCTACAAGATGCATGCTTTGTGCTTAAGGAAAATCATATATTCCTCTATCCGTTTGAAAAGACACCATATTGAGTTTGTAATATTTTTCATTGGATGCGGATTAACTTGCACGTTTCATGAGGAGCATTGATACACGGATAGATACGATGCTTTAAGGGTCACATTGAACCGCACGTCGTTTCTGCAGTAGGTCCATTATAAGGGAATTCAATTGCCAACATCCTGCCGACGCCAAAATACTCTAGGATTATGCTGCTTGACAAGCACTATTGCAGGCCAATTGGAGAAATCCTTCCTAATCGAGAACGCAACTCAGAATTTCGGCCAACATTTTTTGTAACAGGTGACGCACTTTACCTTCTCAAAATCAATAACACCTTCTGTTCTATTAAAGCGTTTGTTAACAAGTTAACTCCCGCGGTAATCTTTAGACAAAAAAAACGATTTTTAATTGCGCAAGCTCTGTTAAGTAAAACCTTTGAGAGTAATTTACTATCATCTCAAAAAAAACGCTCAGATAACCAAACGAAGTCTAGTCCAGTCGTGCGCATAGTAAAGTATACGAATATATCGCAGCTTCCATTTTTTTCGAAATTGATTAACGTTTTGCTTGAATGACTTTCGTGCGTACATTCTTCGCACAAAAGTACATTTCTTTGAGAAGGCTAGACAAACGAGCAAAAAGTGCAACGTTTAAGACGTCTGAACATTTTCGTATCATTTTCTGCCATCAGGTTTCATGAGACAGGTCATGCACTATACCAGTCTTAATTTTGATAGGAAGATTTATGGACTCATTTTCTTATTTAAACTGATAACGTCACATAATTTGCTCGACGTAATCGGCCTTTTCCACTTCAGCATATTTTGTCTCCGGCAAAAAACGTAACCGAGATTATTCGCCTTTTATAATAAAATTGTTAAAAAGTAAAACAACTGGTATACTCTAGTAAAAGCTCCTTCGAGATAATTGTGGAAAAACAGTCAAACGTCTCTTTAAATGTAGTTGCCGTTTATCCTCCCTTAGTACTGCTTTGATGTAACCGACTGAGCAATTATATTCTATGCAGTGAACTAGATGCGCTACCTCTTCCTGTTCCGTGGCAAATTCACCACGGAACAACGGGGTTATGCGCTGATTGCCTTAATCCCGGACTTAAGGAAATGCGATTTCTGTTGTTTTCTACATTAAAATATTAAAATGATAGCATGAAAAACATTTATCTTTAAACAAATGAGAACTAAGGTGTTGTTGTGCCTAGCAAAAAACATTACATATGCTTAAGCTTTCATCAAACGCGTCAGAAAAAAGTGCTTCTACTCAAAGAAAGGGGCATGCGAAATGTAACATTTATTTATTCCTTTGATGTGATATCACTGTCTCTTAGAACTAAATACACGATTTCCCACTTTGCCACATTAAGAGACAAAAGGCGAATCCTTCCAGCACTCTAAAACTTTCATTTATCGAAAGAGAATGGTGGCAAGAGAAAGAAGACGATGATGGTACTCCCACGAAACCTGCCCTTTATTCAATTATTCAATAACACACTACTGGCTCTTAGAACTAATAACTTGTTCGCCATAAATATCACATTAAGGGGCAAACATGAATCCTCCCAACACTAGAAAAGAATACAAACGAGGGAAAGGAGACGGAGATGGTAATTTCTGATTTATTTGCTATAATCGGGCGACGGGTTGAGCCGGACGTTTTACCAATGACCACTAAGTTAAACGTTCCACTATGTAACCATAGGATCGCACATCCGCAAATCCCTATCCGGAAAAAAGCATCATTATGTTGAGAAATAGGAACATGGCCACACAACAATCAAATAAATATGTCATCTTCGTGCCTTCGCATGAAAAGGTGTCCTAAAAAGTACTATCACAGAGACTCGCCTACTGCCTTCCCACTTTAACATGTAAAGGCACTCTTAAATCTCACCTGATCATCCCAATCATTGGTTTTTTGCACATATACCTGCCGTAGAGGTGTATAGTTGCATAAGTCTGATAATAGACACAAACGAACGTGCAAAAGACCATCTAGTTCATGAGATGTTCACCGGAATTTTGAAATGCGTTTCCACCAGGAAATGATTGCGTAGATGGGGCTACAGGATACTCCGAAGGTGCTTAGTCAGAGCAGGATGCCAGTTTTTAATAAGCACGTTTCAAACGACATACACCCAGCATCTTCTGGCGCAGTTGTTCACGACGAAAATGCAGAACAGAATGCCGACAAAATGGGGCAAATCAGCTGTCCAACAAATTTAGTATGCGCAAACACTTTTGAGACGTACAGCTGTTAGGGATCAAGTGGGGTACATGCCTGTCTCGGACTCAATACGAATTAACAGCTCAATGATATCAGTTATATTTCTCATCGGACCGGCTTCTGTAAAAACGGTTTTTACATACGTTTTCACGGCGCACTTTATATGTCACTTCTATTTCTATTCTTAAGTTACAGCGTTTGCGCTCCTTATATCAGACTTCTAAATTATGGTTTATCATTGTTCACTGTGGCGATCATATTCTAATAAAATATTTTTATGAATTGTAATCGTTTTCTCACATTATGAGCTTTTTTATTTTGTTACTTTAAAACAGTTTATTTTCACGTTTGTTCCACTTCACTTTTACTTTGGATTCACTCAGTTCAGTAGTCCAAAAAATATATGTATCGTCCCACTGGAGGAATTGAGCCTACAGTTTAAAGCGTAGCGGTTGGAGTTCGGTTCCTAAAGGACATTTTCGCACATCGGACGCCAAGTCTGCCCTTCTGTTAAACCACCTAAAGCGATGTATTTGATTTTGAGAGACTTGCAGTGCAAGCCATATGACCTTTCTAACAGTGCGGCCCAATGGTGTTTTATGCAACTAAAACGCAAGCAATGCGTTGAGAGCTGTCAGCCATTCTTGTTAAATGCACGGTGGCAATTTAATCACTTTTGTTTAAACGCGGAAAACCGGCTTCAAGAAGAATTTCCGGCGAAATTGGAAAGTCATCAATTCCCTCAAGAAAGAGTAATTACTTTTATGAAAGAAATTCAAAAATTGTTTTGACCGCTATTTATGTGCAACTGCGTAATTTTTTACATGAAAAACCGCCGGATTATGTCTGCCAACACAGTTTAATGAATATGGCGTTTGTTTATAGTTTTCTTGACAAACTGGTTCTAGTTTTATAGACAGATTTTTTCAATTAATAAGTGAATTGGCACAGATAAGCAGATAGATAGGATGTCGCATGAGTAGGCATCTAAGGATTTCAAAAATCACATAAATACAGAATTTTTAAATCCCCGGTTTGTCCTCTTTTCGAGTATTTAGTTTAGAGAAGACGAGATGTTAAAAAATTAATAAAAATAAAGACTATATCGGTCTATTGTCTTTGCAATACATTCGAATTTTTTAGGAAACCCACAATCACTTGAGAAAGTCCCATTAAATAATTGACCACTTTTTGTATGGTGTGCTTTCTGCAAACGGTTTGAAACGTGCTTACTAAAAAAACTGGCATCCTGCTTTGACTAAGCACCTTTGGATTATCCTGTAGCCCCATCTAGGCAATCATTTACTGGCGGAAACGCATTTCAAAATTCCGGTGAAAATCTCATGAACTAAGTGGTCGTTTGCACGTACGTTTTTGTCTATTACCAGACTTATGCAACTATACACATTTACGGCAGGTAAACGTGCAAAAAACCAATGATTGGGATGATCAGGTGAGATTTATGGGTGCCTTTACATGTTAAAATGGGAAGGCAGTCGGCGAGTCTCTGTGATAGTACTTTTTAGGACACCTTTTCATGCGAAGACACGAGGATGACATATTTATTTGATTATTGTGTGGCCATGTTCCTATTTTTCAACATGAGGACGCTGTTTCCCGGATAGGGATGTGCGGATTAAATTTAAAAAGCTCTCTTAAACTGTGAATCAGGCTGATACGGTGAGAGGTTTCGCTAGTCAGTATAAGGTCTTTAGCGTTCATTCGGCCGAATTGACGAACTTCAGGCGGCCGAACTTCAGCGTAGGGTCTCACTTACCCCTGTGCGAGGGTAGCAAAGATTCCACGCCGTCCACTAAAAGTGGCAGTGAACCAATCTGGCTCCGTTCCGATTCGACGGAAGAGCTTTGTGGAGGCCAGGTCATGGCACACTTTGGCATGAAGGTCGCAGCGGCCTTGAGGACCGTAGCAATACCTTTGCCCATTATTACAGGGTCATTTTTAATCGGCCCACACCCTCCTTTGTTACAATACATGACTCCGATAAAAACGAAAATGCGAGTTTCAGGAACTAGTTCATCATAAGAAGAGTCGGTCGCTGGAACAAGGGCTTTATTCACCTGACGTTTCGGATTCTCACTTGAATCTATTATCAGAGACAGTGGCAGAAAAGGGTGACACGTGCCCAGGAAGTTGCAGTATTTGTAGGGTGCAGTCGCTATGCTACCGCATACCTATAGTTTTTAGCCGCGACCTCCTTTATAAAGGATTTTTGCCCGCTGGTACGCTAACTGCTTTATGACAGGCATGCATGTATTTGATTGCTGAAATCTCATCACCCGTTTGGTTACTGGCGTGGTGATTGCTCGGCCATCTGACGCACTGGCCTGCGCACTCCCGAGTGGTTAATTTCTTTGGCCAGCCTATGTCTCAGCACGGAATATGAAGCGGCGATGTCTTTGCACTCGTTGATAGATTGAGTTCCCGTGAACCATGACTCAAACAACTCGCGGCTCACGAGACTATTCCCTCTCGTGAGAACGTTGGCCTCATCGAACTTGGATGTGTGTGCAGGTCTCGCCAAATGGGCCACAACCTGAGCGCTGACGTCATTTCTCCGTACCGCTGCCGCGTGTTCGGCAATTCGCGTTCGGAGTAGTCTTTCAGTTTCCCTAAAGAAGTTTTTTGTCCACAACTACTCCAAACGTTTCTTGCTGTGGCAGTGGCTCTTTGGTTTCATCACCTGACGCCTGATGTTGGCTTTGGGTGTGTGCAACTTCAACCTCAAGTGGTGCGTTAATGTGGCTAACGGCCTCGGAAACCTTCGTTATGTACGGTATCGCTCACCAGAATTTGGGGTCGGCACGATTTTGTCGCTTGTCTCGTTTTTGCATGCACCGGTTGACGAAGTTGCGCGGGTAACCATTTTTTCTGAAAACTTATCGAAGATATTGTCATGTCTTCCGGTATCTTGCAGTGCGTCTCAACACGCCGATAAAGCCTTTTTACGCAAGTGTGTTTGTGGCTGATTGGGTGGTTACTGTTGAGTTCAGTATTTGCGTCCTATTCGTTGCTTTTCTCAACACTTTGGTCTTTAGGCTGTCACAATCTCTGCGACAGACAAAGACATCTAGAAATGCAGGCTGGTTATTTTTTTTCCTACATCTTAAATAGTATGTCCGGGAAGACGCTGCTGAGACGTTATTGGAGCCTTACCACCTGATCTTGTTCGATGACGACGAAGGTATCGTCCCATCTCTGATGATGGGTTCAAGTGAGAATCCAAAACGACAGGCGAATAAAGCCCTTGTTTCAACGATCGCTTTTCTTCTGATACATGACTCCGTCAAGACCACGTGATGCCAAGACACAAAAACCTTAATTTAGCTCTTCTCCTCCGAGCCACTGGTGTACGGATGCCAGCATCTGTGTCCGCCTCGAATTATCCCATAGTACACAAGCATATTCACTCCTCCACGTTTCCCCTCCACCCCAAGCGCTTCTTCAATCCCATCCCAACTGAAGATACATACACATATCGTCAACGAAACGGCGTTATTGAAATCTGACAACACATTTCCCCCAAGCTGTCTTTCTGGGATATTTTTTATTTTCTTTTTACGAGGCCCTGAAAGGGCTCATTGCGGACAGTCGATTAGGCCGTAGATAATAGCCGTCAGACGCTCTCGATCCCTCCGATCACCACCACACTGGTTAATGAATTGTAGGTTTTAACTGTTAGTGACACTTTGTCAGAACAAGTTCGCTTTGCGAGTAATTTTAAACCCCAACAATGCAGCCTAGTTTCCACAGTTAATGCTTCTCTCCTAATGCATTGACTGATAACCTCTCATATGATCACATCCAGCATTTTCAGCCTCACATTTCTAGTGCTTCGACGTCTTATCTGAATTCTTAAAACTGTGCTGGAAAATTGTGGGCTGACGAAGGACTCGGTGTCTGTTATATGGCAACGAATTAGAGGAGAATCGCAGCTCACAGACCCAACCTACACAAACTCAGCCTATGGTTACAACTGTCAGTCACCCTGACATAACTGATTTAGCGAAAACTGGACTTCCTTCTCGGCTGCTATCTTGCCACTGCTGACGTAGCCTTGCAGTTCCAATCTGTCCTCCCTGAGTGAGAGAGAGAGAGAGAAAGGCATGCGGCCGGAGTGAAGTGTTTGCATGCAACATCTTCGCCGAGAGTGACACTTTCGGCACCTTTTTCCCGCCTTTCCGGCACATCGGGTCCCAGGGTCGGACGAGCCTGACACTTGCACTTTTTGATGATTTTTTGACTGTGTCAAAGCAAAGACCTTAGCTGCAGATGAAGTCCGAAGGAAAATACGAGCAGTTACGAAAGATCCTAATAGAATCCTAAATCTAAAACTTGCCCGTCGGACGAAACGCATACGACAGCTCTACCGTGGTTGCCGACGACGTCCACCGTGCTCTACACAGCAGAGTGAAAGCAGGGACGGTGACTGGCGCGTGATTCAGGTAATAGTAATTGTTGACTTTCGCTGCATCTACCGCACTCTCCACTCTTCCCTAATTGGGCTGGGTGTCAAGACATAGTCAAGAACACCGAAGGCGAAGGAAGCCGCCGATGGATAGCACGGTCGAGCCTGAACCTCAGCGCTCCCCCCTGGTCCACACTGTAACGCCCATGGACTTAAACAGAATTGTTTGAATGCGTGACACTTTTCCGCGCGAGGATCTAGGATGGAGATGGCGTAACTGCGTGTCAGTGAAGATGGCCGGTGTCCCTTCCTCTCTCATCCGCCGATCCCTTCCCTTTTGCCGTACCGCAACGTTCGCATCGCTCTCCGTCTCACAACATCGGCACCTCCCTGGGCCCCTCCCTGCAGTTGCCCAAAGCGCTGCATTCCCCACCGGCTAATGAGCTGGCATGTCGGTATCGCCTTCCCAGCCAGACAGGGTATCTGATGGCTGTAACTCATTCCAACTGTACGAGTAACTATTATTATTATACGTACCTCCCATGACCGTCTTGTTATACTTTACTATGTTCCGTTCCTGACGTACCCTTTTCTGCTGCGTGTGAATGAGTATTCAGAGATGCTAACGACTCCGTTCAGATTCATCTCCTCCAGGATTTACCCTCGGCGTTCTCCTTCTTCGGTGTGTGCTACCCTTGACGTCCTTGGCCGCTACAACACAGCAAATGACCAGGATTTTGACCAACAACGATAAAGGGGGCTGGCACGACCGAAACCGGATCCTGGCGTGCCGTTACACCTGGCTCGGATGCCACAGAGTAAAATTGTCATAAAGGCCATAATAAGTAGGGGGCACTGCAGTCTGACTATTAAACCACCAGTTGGTAGCTCCACACAAACACACAAATAAGGGTCGATTGCGAGGTGCAAGTTATCCCACCACGGCTTTTAGCGCACCGTGATAGTTTAATAGCGTTCCACATTGATTACGGTGATTCAAACTGCGCTGAGTCGCTGAAATCACTCTCCCTTCCTTTTTCCAGGCCCGTTGGGGGGGAGGGGGTGGAGGGGTGTTGTTTGTAACCTTTATTCAAAACAGCGTTTCGTCAGTCGTTGGATGCATAGGGTGCCATGTGCGACACGTACGAGGTTATCTCCTCGTTTTAGACTCACGCTCGCTTATTTTTCTCAGATAACCCCTACAGAATTGATTCTTATCAAGCACGAATAATGACTGGGTGTATGGCGAGCAAGTCAGTATTCACATATTACGGACAACCTGTAGGACTGTATGGATATTAGGCCTTTATTCCGTAGAAACTGATGCTGGAATGCAGTTTCAGTATTCTTATCAACATTCGCATCGAATCTGGCAAGGTTCGCGTTGAACACACGCATTAATGTTTGCGTAAATGAGGAATCTAAACCTGGAAAATCACGTCCTGCAACTCTTTTCTATGAGCTTGCATCTTCATAGACTTTTGTATTAAAGATATTAGTGCATTTTGAATCAAAGTCTGAACCGGTCAGTTGACAGGTGTGACGAACCACATACAGACTTGCAAACATGTCTGACGCTAATAGGATAGGCTAAGCGCATAGAGGCAGGACATTCTTGGCATTTAAATTACAATAGGTCAGTTGTAAGGTTCAACACAGTGAAATGCTATGATTGACGGTCTGATGTAATTCCTCACCTATCGGGTGGTAAGGAAAATCCCGATTTTATTGCTCAACAGGACATATTAGGCAGGATTAACTATGGTATGCTTTAACGAATAGAACCGAATATGCGAATACCAGGCTCTTGTTGTAAAGAAGATGAACACATGATCTCTGGGACAGTAGGCGTATTACTCTGAACTTTTGGTCTCGTACAGGAGGCCATCGTCAGAGACTGTGAGGATGCAACATCAAATGAACAGTTTTTTAGTCAAGCCACGAAGGGGGGGAGATATGAGTGCAGAGGGTGGTAGCCGCGACAAGCTGAGTCCCAAGCCGTCTCACGGGGTGGCATGACTGCGTGCACCCTTGGCTGGAAATTGGGTCTCGCCTCTTGGCCGCGGGTACGGAGCGCGTGATAGCAGGGGGGGTAGTTCAACTTGCCTGTTGAAAAGGTGGTGTCAGACACCCAGGCCTCTAACAGTTCTCGCCCTGTCTTATTGTTGGCCCGCGCTACTATCCGCGTGCTCTCAAGGTTGAATTCGTGGCCTTGCTCGAGGGTGCGAGTGGCGGTCTGAGACAACGGGTCGCCTCTCCGGACCGCCCGTTTGTGCTCCGGTATTCGTGAGCTAAGTCGTCGTCCGGCCTGTCCTGTAGCTAAGACTAATACACCTACTGTCCCGTAGATCGTGTGTTCATTTTCTTTCCAACAAGAACCTGGGATTCGCATATTCGCTTACATCCGTGAAAATTTCGGGCTTAATGCGCTTCGCACAGCTCGCAGCTGGGAGACATTCTTCACCCGAGAGGCAGCAACATACGAACAGCTACGTTTTCTTTACAGATGTGTTCGCA